GAGGAAGAATTTCACTTTTGACTAATCTTTCTATTCTCCCCTTGGAAATATGGCCCAAGCGACAGTGCCATAATTTCGATGAGTCGTGAGTTCTCTTTCTTTTCTTTTGTTCTTTATTCGATGCGACATGCTCATTCCCATTACACACAGAATGCACTTTTCCACGTAGTGATAATAAATAAAGCTCATCGTGTAGTAAAGCATCACCCATGTAAGCATTATTAAACCACATGACACAATTGCCATGTCCAAAATAACATTCATAATTATCTTTGTCCAAACATGAAACACTAATCAAGTTTCTATGACATGATGGAACATATAAAACATCTCTAAGCTGAAGCTTGAATCCATCAGCTAACTCCAGGGAGATGTCGCCGACAACTACAACTTCTGTTTCAACTCCGTTTGCCACTTCAATGCGTCTTTGCGTAGTCCGCGTCGAATGGAATCCCTGTAACGAATTTGCAACACGAACAGTTGCTCCTGATTCAATCCACCAAGTAGATTTCGAAAACTGTGTATACAAGGATTCATTTACAAAGGAAACAATGTTGTTACCTCTCTTTGCCATTATGGTCTTCAGGGCAATCTTTCTTATAGTGCCCAGTCTTCTTACAATGGAGACATGTGTCTTTGTCCACTGAGATGCTGATGTTGAGCTTTTCCATGTGGCTTAGAAGGAGAACCTTTGCTATTTTGATTGTAATTCGTTTTCTTGTTATCCTTCACATAGTTGAGTGAACCACCATGTGAGGCTTTGAGTCTGTCCTCTTCTTGGACACACATTGCTATTGTCTTTTCAATGTCCCATGTCCAGGTGACATATTGTAGTTTACAACAAAGGTTTCAAACTCCTTTGATAGTGAAGCCATGACCAGGTGGACCAGGAGCGCTGGTTGGATCTACAGATCCGCATCCATGGGCTTGAGCTTTGCTGCCATGTTGCTCATCCTGAGGATGTGCTCTCTTATTCCATGACCACCGCCAGTGTAGTTCTCTGTCACCAGTTGCTTTATCAACTAAGTGGCATATGTCTTTGAAGAACCAGTGAACTGACTCTTTATCTTTGTAAGCAACTCCCCTACGGAAGTGCACTCTGCAATTGAGCCCACGATGGCGTTCTCAATTGTATTCTTTATAAATGCCATGCACTTTTTGTTTGCATTGACCCACTTTTGGTTTTCAATGGAATATAACATCTCCACTGAAACATGATCCTTTTTTCTTTTTCTTCCACGCATCATCATCATCAGTGGCCTCTCTGACTGGCTGTAGGTCTGACCGGCTGTGATTCATCCACAACCCAGTCCACCTCAGCACAGACAAATGCCATGTCTACTTTCTTCCTCCACTCAGTGTAGTTGTCACCTCTGAGTGTCGGAACATCTTTTAGGCAACTTTTAGAATGAATTTCCTATTCTATAACTTTGCATGAATACAATTGTCCTCTCATTTTCTTTAACCCAAAATAACATCTGATTCTTTTAACTTGAAATGCCACTGTCTAGAGACTTGCTCTAGTCCATAAAAGACTTCTTGACGCAGTATCCCTTGTGTTCTTTACTTTCATCTGATGTAACTCAGATCATGATGTGCCACTAACACTCATTGTAATCTATTCATTCTCTTTGCACAAAATCTTTCGATTTAAGTCGCGCTTTACACCTTTACATATTTCCTTTGGAGTCACATTGGCCTTGTAGACCCTTTACAGCCTACTGTTTTGGCTCCGTTGGAAATTACTTATGAGTCCCAAACATCGTCGGGATTCACCAATTTTATTTGATCTCACATAGTCTCTCATCATTTAGACAAAAAACACACTTCTCAAAACTTGATTGAGCGCTTTAAATGAGGTGGGATCAACCTCCATTTGAATTTCACTAACATAGACTTTATAGTAATCATAAGTATCTGGTTTTCTTATTCGTTGAGACCATCTGTGTCTCAGGTACTGGCACTTCTTTCATATGGGGTTGTTGTTGCTCTGTCATTGCCAAGAGGCAAATTAATTATAGTCTTTCATTTCCAAGAGGCAATAGGTTTTACAGGGACCTGTTTCATAAGATGCATGTTTACTCATTCATCCTTTATAGAGCTAACAACAGGTGTTGTATAGGTCATACAACATGCTCCCCCAGATACAATCTATTCGAGTCTTAGGTATTTTCATACCATGTTCCCCAGATTACTCCATCTTCACTAAAATTGGCGTATCTTTAAACTTTATTATTTGGGTTTATTTTGTTAAAACTTTTTTCTTTATGGCACTTTAAGCACCGTCTTAGTATTCCTTTGTCTGCTTTCGGAATGTAAAAGATCCAGGAATACATCTATTTCTTTTCTTTAGGGGTATTATTATGACCGTCGTACTCCCTCTGATGATCACATTCTTCATTAATGGATCACTTTAGATGCATAATGTGCATCACATTATCTAAAGTATAGAGGAGTTTCAGCATTCTTAATTTATCTCATATTTCTTTCCCCCCCTCGAAATATGGCAAGAACTTTTCTGCCACAATTTTGAAAAACCATTCATGACTCTTGTGGATTGAGGAAACTTCTATTATCTACTTCATTTATCTGATTACTTCATACAAAATGAAGTTATATGTTAACTGGTATGGGAGTACTTTTTCCTCATTTCATTTCAGAAACTCAACAGAGTTCTTTATCATTAGTACTTTTGCAAGTCACACTTGCATATCATTCTTATCTTTAGCTTCGTCTGTAACTTTTATTATCTTTGGATTTATTGAGTGCTTAATGACCGTTACACATAAGGTGTACGGTCGATACAAGGAAAGTATAATAGCTACTCCATACTTTTCTAAGCACATGAGTCATCATATCTTTCTCCTGTCATACAGGATAAGTCCTTTGCCATAATTTCTCCCGCCATACGGGATTTTTGACATAATATTATGTCAACTTTACCCCGTTACGCAGGTATTTTTCCAGACTTTTCCCGCCATGCGGGTAATTCCCTGTAAGGGACATAAATGCCAGAATTGGCTCTTGATTGCATATTCAATCATCAAATTTAGGAGTAAATCTGAATGCTCTTTGACACACATGCTTGATACGACGTTGGTCAAATTAAACACGCATGTTGCTTGTTTCATCTCAAATCATGTTCTCTGAAAAATCTTCTTCATAGAGAGTACATGAAAGACATTCGTGAACCAAGACTCTCAATGATCTATCTCTTTTCATTTGAAGCCATTCTTTAGAGAGAACATACTCCCTCACGTTATGACCTTTCTTGGTCATCTTTCGGGTCACAAGTACCCAGCCATTCGCTTTCACGAATGAAAGCATGGAAAACTTTTAGTCTCAGAAAAATTAGCCAATAATCAACAATAATGAGCATAAAAATATCCCCATGTTGGTCTGCTTAAAAAATATGCACATTAAGCTTTCAAAACTTTCTTCTATATATTCTAAATCACCGTTGTGGTAGAATTAGAATAAAACAACATCCTTCTATATTAATTCCATATCACCGTTGGGCGGAAATGGAAATAATGCATATAACTCATAAACAATGTGATGATAGTATTTCTATTAAACAACTTTGCTAAGAAATAAGGTGGAAATGGAAATAATGCATATAACTCATAAACAATGTGATGATAGTATTTCTATTAAACAACTTTGCTAAGAAATAATCATCATCATCAACTTTATTGCAGCGGGAACAAGAAATATACATTTCTCTAGCTCAAGAGCATTTCTTGATCTTTATTTGTTCTCTGAAAATTGTTCACTTTGATACTGAATTTATCAGAGATTTAAGCTTTGAACATAAGACCCATAGAACTATAGCACTGTTATCATCAACGTTGGTTAGAAAATAACAACGCCATATTTTAATTTTAAAACAAATATCTTTCTTTTGTCATAGCGGAAGCTATCTGAATCTGATTTCACCCACAGGGGAAAAACATTGCTAAGAACAGTTCTTCCAATTAAATTTTCCCGTTGGTTCCAATTTAATTGGAGGATAAAACTTTTACTTTGCAGCGAAAAAACATGAATAAAAAATTCATGAACTTTTTACTTTTCAGAAGTATTTCTTTTACTTTTTTGTTTTCTGAACAAAAAATTTCTTTGAATAATTTGAATAGAAAAAAAAAACTGTGCAACAACGCTTCCCGGCCCAAAAGGCCCAGCGGCCTGGTCTGACGGCTGGCCTTGGCCTAGCGCGCCAGCTGCAGCCTGACCCTTCTCTCTTTCGGCCCACTGGCCCAGTGCGGGGATTAGGGTTTGCATCTAGGCC